GCCAACATTTCTAAAGAATGCTTTCAGCACCTTGTTGAATCAATGCCACGTAGAATTAAGGCAGTTCTGAAGGGGAAAGGGGTCAAACACCGTTTTAGTATGGTGTTCCTAATAATCCTTTAGGTGAGTGCAGAGTCTTCATATTCTCTTATAGCAGTAGCGGTTAATGTTTTTATTGACTGACATAGCACAGTGTGCTAAAACCCAATGGCCATTAATGCCTGTGTTAAAAAACAAAAAGTAAAAGCTTGTGCAGCACAGCAGCACTGTGTCCCAGAGATGCCCTTTGTCAAACAGGTGGTTCTCTATCTGAGGTCTGGCTACGCCATCCAGGCAACTCCTGTTATCATAGCTCGGTGCCCATTTAGCCAAGACAGTTAAGCCTGCAAGTGGGGCAGCTTGGCGAGGTACTTGTTTCTGTTTTTAAGTGCCAAGACATCACACCATCGTGGGGTGTTCTTGATTTTCACTCCCGGTTTGCTTCAACGCCGGCCTTGACAACGCTATAACAAGTGCTTTCTCTCTCACTGCCCCGGGGATCCGTGTCGACCACAGAACCCTCCTTTCTCTGGACGCCAATCCAGAGGCAGGACCCCCCCAAATGGACAAGAGGTGGGATTGTCCATGTTGGGAGCATCAATCATCCGGAGGTGTGACTTTTCGCTATCGGTAATGAAAGCCCTGGGTTTAGCGGTGCCAGAACACACAGGGGAGAGCCATTCTCCTGGAGGGCTTTGGCTCTCTGTCTGCCTCCGGATGCAATGCCCGCCTTTTCGATTTCCGAGGAGCCCCCTGCGCCTCACACAAAGCTCTCATGGAAAGCCGGGATCCGTTTTCCCAGCGCCAATTAACCGTAACTCTTATATTTGGCCAAACTTCGCCAGTTTTCCACTGTGGCATCCCGTGTCTCCTTGAAGACGTTGACCGCATTGGAATTTGGGTTCGACAGCAGAACCGCCTCGCATCCTCTCCCTTGACCCGGGTGCACTACCCAGATTATGGGTGAAATGATCAGATGCACAGCGTGGTGCATAAAGGGCCCTGCTCACTTAAAATACGCCCTTAGGAAATGTGCTTCCTACTTATTTGTGATCAGGGATGCGTACTGCTTAAGAACATTACATCACATCCTTCACAGCAA